AAAATGCTTCTTTGACAGGGAAAGGAAGACGGAGGTGGGAAGACAGTTAAGCACTGAATACATTTAATAGGATTTAGCCCCAAATCCGTTCTTTCCCAAAGCAAAATTTAACCTCGTCTTATTGGCAAGAGGCTTATCGCTTTTCTTTCTGTACAATTACTTTCTTTTTTAAAATATTTATTTATTTATTTAGGGGTTTTTTGTTTTTTGTTTTGGGGGCAGGTAATTAGGTTTATTTATTTACTTATTTATTTTGATGGAGATACTGGGGATTGAACCCAGGATCTTGTGCCTGCTAAGCACACACTCTACCACCACTGAGCTATACCGTACCCTGCTTTCTTACAGAATTACTTTCAAAAGCTGAAAATGAGAAAAACACACTTGTTGAAATCTTAAAAATAACCTGAGCAAAATAGCTGTTTATGTGTACTTTTAGCAAGTAACAGTTTTATAGAGATATAATTCATATACCCCCAAACTCACTTTTTTACAGTCTACAGTTCCACGGTTATTAGTATATTCAGCATTGTCCAACCATCACAATTCACTTTAGAACGTTGGCATCGTCCCAAAGAAACCCCACCCCCTTTACAGTCACTTCTCAGCCCTCCTCCCAGGCTCTGGAAACCACTACGCGACTTTCTGTCTCTACGCAGTTGCATCCTCTGGACCATTCACATGAATGGAATTATACAGTGTGTGATCTTGTGATCAACTTCTTTTATTCAGCATCATGTTTCCAAGGTCCCTCCGTGTTACAGCTTGGGTCGAGTAATAATTGGTAGTATGGGTACATTGCATATTATATTTATCCACTGATTAGAGGGTGGACCTTTGAATAGTTTCCACTTTTTGGCTATTATGGAGAATGCTGCTGTGAGCATGTACTTACAAATATTTTTGTGGACGTGTTCCATTTCTCTTGGCGACGTACCCGGAGAGGAATTGCTGTTTCATACGGTAACTCTGGAAACTCTAGTTTTAGTATTTTGAGGAACTTGCCAGATTGTTTTCCAGAATGGCTGCACCATTGCACATTCTTGCCAACAACGTATGAACCCTCCGATGACTTCACGTCTTCGACAATACTTGTTATCATCTGTCTTTTAAAATTATAACCGGCCATCCAACTGGGCATGAATTGGTATCTCATTGTGGTTTTGATTTTCATTCCTCTAATATCTTGATGTGGATATTGTTTATTTGTGTATCTCTTTTGGAGAAATAGCTCTTCAAATCCTCTGCCTTTGTTTTAATTGGATCTTTTTTTTTAAATTGAAGTATAGTCAGATTACAATGTTGTGTCAATTTCTGGCGTACAGCACGATGCTTCAGTCTTATAGGAACATACACATATTCGTTTTCATATTCTTTTTCATTACAGGGTACTGCAAGATATTGAATATTGTTCTCTGTGCTCTACAGTATGAATTTGTTGTTTATAATTAGATCATCTTCTTGAATGTTGTTCTGTCAGTATTCTTTATGTATCCTGGATGCAAGTCCGATATGCGATTTGCCAACATTCTCTCCCAGCCTGTGTGTTGCATGTGTCCTTTTCGTAGCTGGAAACTGCACAAGATAGTTTGGCAGTTAGCTGCAGTTTAGCACTTGAGAAATGACTCCTCTCTCTCACCCTGAAGGGCTGACAGATATAGTGTTCCATGACCAATGAAAAAGCATCCAATGTCCTCAGGTTTGAGGAGGAAATGGGGCACGTTCGGCCGTGTTCTTGCATATTTGACTGGATGCATTATTTCTGCTGTTCTTGTTCTTAAAGGACATGGAGGTCTTGCAAAAGCCAAGCTAACAAGGGTGATTCTGGTAGCGGCCCCATTTGGGAGCTGGGAGTAAAATCTTTTGCACTCAGCCCACAGAGGTGGTTTTCCTATCATGAGATCTCAGCACAGACCAAGTTGATGAGAATGGACCATTTCCCCCGCTGTCTGATCCTAACTGCCATGTGCAGAGCAGGCCCCTGTCAGTAAGGGCTCTCCATTTCAAATGACAAGAATCCATTCTGGCTGCTTGAGGGAGGGGAAGAATTTGTGGACAGTCATGGACGCCTCTTGAGAGAAGCCGCTGGGCTCCAGGCCGTTTGGGCAGAATCAATCAAGACTGCATCTTCCCACAGCGCCTGCGAGGACCACAAGGCTGCCGCTGACCAGTACTGAACCCCCAGGCTCACCCAGGACAGGGCTGCGGGCATTAGCTCCCCGGGACAGGGGAGGTCTTTTTCAAAAGCACAGAAGCCAAGATTCTGCCACTCCTGATGCTTTGCATCTCAGTGATATATTCAAAGCCGGGGACGACCCTTCTAGAGCTTGTCTATATTCAGGCCGCCCTCTCCCCCGGGGACATCTGAAGTTACGTTTTCCTGCTCCCCCGCAGCTGAGACGGGGTGATGGGCTGAGTCAAAGTGACAAGTCTCACTTCTGGGCTCAAGCATCTCATTGCCTGTGTGAATCAGGAACCCTGATCAGCAGGGTATTCCTTGGCATGTTGACTGTGAGCCTGGCATTCCTGGAGTTGCAGCCATGAGACAGTAAACTTCTGTCCATCTGGGTCTCTAGGTGACTGTGCGCAGCAGAGTCCTGGGGCCACCAGTGTTAGGTACGGAGGAACGTGGGCTAGGAACACCTGCGCTGTTGAGCCACTGAGAATGTGCAGCTGTTTGTTCCCGTGGAACAGTCTAAACTCAAGCCTCTAATGACCACCTTAAAAACCACATGCAATGCTGGAGAGGGTGTGGAGAGAAGGGAACCCTCCCACACTGTTGGTGGAAATGTAAACTGGTGCAGCCACTATGGAGAAAAGTATGTAGGTTCCTTAGAAAACTAAAAGTAGGGTTACCCTAAGATCCAGCAATCCCACTCCTGGGCATATATCTGGAGAAAACTCTAATTTGAAAAGATACCTGCACCCCAGTGTTCATAGCAGCACTATTTACAATAGCCAAGGCTTGGAAGCAACCTAAATGTTCATCAACAGATGACTGGATAAAGAAGTTGTGGCATATATATAATGGAATACTACTCAGCTATAAAAAGCAATGAAATAATGCCATTTGCAGCAACATGGATGGACCTGGAGATCATCATACTAAGTGAAGTAAGTCAGACAGAGAAAGACAAATATCATATAATATCACTTATATGTGGAATCTACAAAAAGACACAAATGAACTTAATTACAAAAGAGAAAGAGAGTCGCAGACATAGAAAACAAACCTATGGTTACTAAAGGGGAATGGGGGGGACGGGATAACTTGGGAGTCTGGGTTTTGCAAACATGAACTACTCTAGGTAAAAGAAACAACAAGTTTTTACTGTAGAGCACAGGGAACTATATTCAATGGCTTGTAGCAACCTATAATTAAAAAGAATATGAAAAAGAATATATATATATATATGTGTATAACTGAATCACTATGCCGTACACCAGAAACTAACACAACGTTGTAAATCAACTATACTTCAATTAAAAAAAAAAGAAAACCACATACAAACAACAAAATCAAAAGGAAGGGAGGGGAAGAGGAAGGAAGTTTAACATTTTCCTCCTCATCGGTGAGAGTCAATTATCTTCCTTTGTTGATAATATTGACATTTTATTTCAAATCCTATTTTGTCTATTGTCTCATCTTGGTTCTATATTTGACTTGCTTTAAATAATTTTTTCCTCCAATCCTTTTACCTCGGCTTCTCTGTTGTTGAATTCTTTAATTTGAATCTTACTTATTTGCTTAGATTTCATCCTTTGGTAGTTTCGTCAGCAGTCTGTCTGCTGTTCTTGTCTCTGAATAGGTACCTTGACTGTGTATGAAATTCTTAGGTCAGTCGTTCCTTTAGAATTTTGTAGACATTGCCCTATAGCTTTCTTTCCTTTTTTTTTGGTGGGGGAGGTAATTAGGTTTATTTATTTTTAAAGGAGGCACTGGGGACTGAACCCCAAGTCTTTGTGCATGCTAGGCATGCACGCTGCCACTTGAGCCAGACCCTCCCCCTCCCCCATAGCTTTCTGTGATTGGGGTTGGCAGGGAGAAGTCTCAGGTGAGTCCCATTTTTGACCCTTGAAACCACCTGCTTTTTTTAAAAAAAAAAAGCTCTGAGATATAATTGGCATATCATAAAATCCACCTGTTTAAGTGTCCAATTTAATGGATTTTGGTATATTTACAGGGGTTTGCGAACCATCACCATAATCTAATTTTAGAAGATTTTCATCACCCCCCGAAGAGCCTCCTGTTCATTAGCAGTCCCTCCCGTTCTCTCCCTCCAAAACCGGTGATCCACACTGGACCTGCCTGTCTGGACATTTCATAGGTAGCTGGAATCATGTGATGTTTGGTCTTTGGTGTCTGCTTCCTTCACTTAGCATAATGTTTTCAGGGTTCATCCAGGTGGGGCGTGTATCCATCCCCTTTTATGGCTAAACAATATTCCCCTGTATGGATGGACAGATCATATTTTGTTTATCTATTCATCAGTTGATGGATATTTGGGTTGTTTCTACTTTTAGGCTATTGTGAATAATGCTGTCATGAACATCCATGTACACGTTTTTGTGTGGACAGACGTTTCATTTCTCCTGGGTGGAGAGCTAGGAGTGGAATTGCTGGATCATGTGGTAACACGATGTTTAACACTTTGATAAACTGTCAGAATGTTTTCCGGAGTGGCTACCCGATTTCCCATTCCAACCTGCAGCATATGAGGGTTCCAAGTCCTCCACATTGCGGACAATACTTGTTATTGTCATTTTATTTATTGTAGTAACCCTAAAGGGTGTGCATTTGTTTCTTCTTATGGTGTTGAATTTGCATAACAAAGGATGTTAAGCATTTCATGCGCTCACTGGCCATTTATAGAGATTCTTTGAATAAATGTTTCTTCAAATCCCTTGCCCATTTATTATTTTTTTTTACTGAAATAATCTTTTTAATTTTTTTTTCATGGAGGGGGAGGGGGGATAATTAGGTTTATTTATTTATTTAATGGAGGTACTGGGGATTGAACCCAGGACCTCATGCATGCCAGGCATGCACTCTTACCACTGAGCTATAACCTCCATCACCCTTGCCTATTAAAAAATCAGGTTACCTATTATTGAGTTGTAAGAGTTCCTTAAACTTTCTAGATACAAGTCCTTTAGAGGATACCAGATTTACAAATATATTCACCCATTCTGAGGATTTCCTTTTCACTCTCTTGATGGTGTTGTTCAAAGCACAAAAGTTTTAAATTTTGATAAAGTTTCAAGTATCAACTTTTTTTAAGTATCACATGTGCATTTGGTATTTATCGTATCTAAGAAATTATTACCTAACTCAATGGTCTCGGGTCTTCTTCCCAGAGTTCTATCATTTTAGCTCTTGTGTATAGGTTTTTGAGCCATTTTGACCCAGTTTTTGCATATAGTACAAGGAGAGGGTCCAAAATCATCCTTTCGTATGTGGATACCCAGTTCCCTGGTATCATTTGTGGAAAAGACTATTTGTTCCTCACTGAATTGTCTTCACATGATGCTTCCTCTTTCTGCCTGGATGTCTGAAGAATTTTTTGTCCCTGAAGTTCAGAAACTTAACCAGGTAGGGTTTTTGCAGCAACTCTCCTGTATCCCTTTTTCCTTATGTCTGTCCCTTTGATGTGCAGTTTAGTTACGTTCATAACATATACTGTGTATGAAAAGAGAGATTTTTTAAAAAAAGAATTAACATCTCTTGTATAAAATTCTGTAATTTCCCCGTTTCACTTTAGTTTTTTTGGTCTTTAAATTAATAAAATTTAATGCTTTTTATATAAAAAAGTGTGTGGTATAATCCATTCTATAAAATGATTTCTGTCTTTCATATCAATTACCTCCCCGTCATCCAAGTAAAGTCCAGAACTATGATCACTGTAACATTGATTTTTTTTTCTAAGTGGTAGAACTTTAGGAAATTTATTAATTTCTTCTTTGTACCTCTCTGAGTGGATTAGTTTAAAAATAATGACAATATATAATTTTTATATAAAAGTCAGACATGACAAAAAAGTCATCATCTGAAGTTTTTCAAATGCCTTTAAGCATGTTTTGGAGTGATTTCATTCCTTACTATCACTGCAATGTCAAACTTTACTAATTTCTTTTTTTCCCAGGTTTTGTTGAACTATAATTGACATGGAATATCGTATTAGTTTCAGGTGTAGAGCATAATGATTTGATAAATGTATATTTTGCAGAATGTTCACAATAGGTCTAGTTAACATCCATCACCTCTCATAGTCACATTTTTTCCCCTTATGATGGGAATTTTTAAGATATACTCTCTTAGCACCTTTCAAATTTTCAAAATACATTGTTAACTGGAGTCACCGTGCTGTACATTACAGCCCCAGGACTTACTTATTTATCTTAGAGCTGGAAGTTTGTATCTTTTGACCCCCTTCACCCGATTTCCCTGTTCCCCCAACACTTTACTAATTTCTGACCTAGAGATTCTTCATCTCTGGCCAAGTAGCTAAATATTCATCACTGTCTGAGTATTGGCCCTTTGGAACACTCTCCGAGGCTTTGCACAGAATATTCCATTTAATCATCTCATCAACAACTCAGAAATGGGAACTATTATTATCCCAGTTTAACCGACGTGGCAGTTGAGGCTGAGAGATGTTGATTAGCTTTCCTGGGGGTAACTGAAAAAATGTGGGAAGCAAAATCCTACGTGGTGCCTGTAATGCCCTCCACGTCCCTCTCCAGCCTGTGCAGAATTCCCAGGGCTCTTAGGGTGAAGTCAAAACCCTGGAGCGGGGAGTCCGAGGCCCTGGACCACGTGGGGGCTTCTCTCTTGTTCCGCCTTCCTCTTGCCCCTAGCCCGTCAAGCTTTGCTATTTCTTGTTTCTCCCTTTTCCTGCAGATGCTTATTTATCCTTTAATATAACAGGATTTCTCCCCTATGTATTTTCTGCCTCTAACCTGCCAGCTTTTTAATCTGCCCACATTCATCTTGTTCAGTATCTGTCTCTCCTCCCAGACTCTACCATCCTGGAAGGCAGAGACGGATTCATCCTTCAATCCCCACAGTGTCACTTGGGGCTTAATAAATATTTGTTCAATTTTGAGATGTAGCTCAATTGCTAACCTCATTCTGTCATTCCTATCCTGTGATGATCTCCTTCTCCAAACCCTGGAAGCACTCTTATTTTATGCACCTGATTTACCGCTTAGTGCGTGCTGCTGTCTGTTGCTGCTTTTCTTCTTTATGTACGGTCTACAATAAAACATGCTTTGCTTTCCCTGTCCTCAGACGTAACCCTAGGCCTTGTTCACATTAGAAACTCAAGACGTGATGATGATGTGATCAGAAAAGAAAGCAGTGTGTTTTCCAAAATGCAATTATGTTACGTACTTAACAACAACAACAAAAATCCCCACCTCTCTTAAATCAGCTTGTGGTCTATAGACATCTAGGGTGGCTCCCCTTGAGTGGGGGTGGGACTTGTGAATATCATGGGATTTCACTTTCATGGTTTGATTTCATCACGTGGCAAAGCTGAAGGGATTTTGCAGATGTGATTAAGGGCCCTAATCAATCAACTCTAGGTTAATTAAAAGGGAGACCATCCTGGGTGGTCCTAACCTAATCAAGCGAGCCCTTTAAAAGATGCCCAAGACACTCCTTTGGGCCTCGAAGAAGGAAGCCACCATGAGTTCAACAGGAACAAATTCTGCCAGAAAGCATGGGAGCCTGGACGAGGACTCAGATGATACCCCAGCCCTGCATGATACCATGGTTGCTGCCTTATGAGACCCTGATCAGGCTCCCAGTTATGTTATCCTGAGCTCCTGAATCATGGAAACTGTATATATTAGGGTTCTCCCGAGAAACAGAACCAATAGGACATATAGATAAATAGATACAAATGTAAGAGATTTATTATAGCAATTTGCTCACATGGTTATGGAAGCCAAGAAAGTCCGACCCTCTGCTGTCTGTAAACTGGGGAACCAAGAAAGCTGGTGATATAATGCAGTCTGTTTTCATAAGGAGGACATACTCATGAGAATTACCTGGTCATGTGGTCGTAGGTGGTATTTATCTTACCTTTGCTGTTTGTTTGTTCGTGGAGGCACTGGGGACTGAACCCAGGACCTCATGCATGCCAGGCATGTGCTCTACTGAGCTGTGCCACCCACCTCCCAAGATGGTATTTATAACTCTATCCATTCTATATTCACTTTGCCTTCAGCAGGCACCTCAACTGGTCATGGTCCTTCACCTGGTGGGGTTGTTACCGGGAAAAGGAAAATTAGAATCACCTTGGTTCTTCGTCACTCAAAAAAAAAGATTTTTGACGAGAGACAGGAAAAGGAGTGCTAAGGAAAATTTTATTAGCGAAGTAGACGAAATAGTGAAAGATAGTACACGCCCGAGAACTGGGAGTGGGCCAAGCCAAGAGGGGGAAAACGGCGCCGCTCTCTCCTTCCTCCTGTTTTTATATCCTGGTTTTGTAACTGATTAATTAATCGATTGATTAACTGATTCCCTGTGCTCTGGTTAGTTGACAGTGCAGGTTCCTTGTGTTCTGGATTGTTCCTTTCCCGTTCCTCTCCCTCTGCCCAGTGCTCATTTCTATCTAATCTACCCAACAGCGTGACTCAAACCTTCATTCCTGAAGGGTCTGGGCCGTTAGTAGTTCTGCCTGGATGGTTTTCCATTGACCTGGATCACAGGGCATGGAAATACTAAGACGTCCAAAGGGATCTCCTGTATTCCAGACACGCCCTTCCTTACCTCCATCATGGCATGGCAGTCCAGTCTCCCCTTGGTTGTTAGGATGGATCACCACAGTCACTCCCTCCCTTGCCTGTTGACAGAGGCCGGGTGGTAGTCTTCACTCTGAGTTCAGTGGAATCATCATCGTGTCTCCTGGTAGAAGTATTCCTCCTGTTGGAACTAAGCCCTCTGGGCCAGCAGAGCAAAGTCACAGGAATTGGAAGCAAAAATTTTGCTAGTGGGTCACTAAGGGTAACAATGAGTGTGCCGCTCCCATTTCCATCCCTTGATTCCTAGACCTGTGAATCCCGGGTATCAGAGAAACAGCACCGCAGATGGGATACTGATTCAGACAATGTACAGTCTTCTGGAAAACCTTCACCCAGCTCTCAAAGGCACAGCCACCTAGCTGGTGTTGTAGCCAGGTCTTCAAAGGGCCATCACACCATTCTATGAAGTGAGCTACTTCAGGATGGTGGAAGATATGGTAAGACTAGTAACCTCCATGATCATGGACCGGTTGCCACACTTATTTCTCTGCGAAGTGAATTCCTTGATCTAAAGCGATGCCGTGTAGAATGCCGTGACAGTGGATAAGGCATTCTGTAAGTCCATGGATGGTAGTTTTCTCAGAAGCATGGTGTGCAAGGAAGGCAACTCTATGTCCAGAGTGTCTACTACAGTGAGAACAAAATGTCACCCCTTCCACGATGGAAGCAGTCCAACGTAATCAACCTGCCACCAGGTGGCTGGCAAATCACCCCAGGGGGATGGGGCCACAGGGGTGCTCAGGGTTGACCCCCGCTGCTGGTAGCAGAGAGAGGCTGGTCTTAATGAATGGAAGCCCACAAGTAAACTCCATCTCTGTCACCATGGCCATTTTGTTCACGGGCTCACTGGGAGATGACAGTCTGGAAAGACGTTGCCTGGTACCCACTGACCAGGTCCTCCTATCCACTTGATTTTAAAATCCTCCTCTGCTGAGGTCCCCTTTTGGTGAACATTCACTTAAGACACAAATATATTCACATCTTTTGCCTGGAGAGGTCTATTCACATAGGTCTTCCCCGAATTTCTTTGTCATCAATTTTCTAATCCTATTCCTTCCAAGTCCCTGGCCATCCAACCAAATCAGTGGCCACAACCATGAACTGGTATATAATCACACATCTGCTCATTCCTCCTGCCAAGTGAACAGGCAGGTGTGCTGTCTGCAGTTCCGCCCATTGGGGGACTTTGCCATCACACTGCCCCTCAGGGATGTCCCCGGAAGGGGCTGCAGCGCTGTGGCTGTCCACTTTTGGGTGGTGCCT